AGACCCAACAAAAAAAGATAATTTCAGGCCAATCTCCCTTAGGAACATTGATGCAAAAATACAAACCGAATATGAGAACACATCAAAGATATCATCCACCATGACTAAGTGGGCTTCATCCCAGGCATGCAGGGGTGGTTCAATATATGGAAATACATCAATGTGATCCGTCATATAAACAAACTGAAAGGAAAAAACCCACATGCTAATCTCCTTAGATGCCTAAAAAGCATTTGACAAAATCCAACACTCATTCATGTTTAAAGTCATGGAGAGATCAGGGATACAAGGCACTTACCTAAACATAGTAAAGGCAATATACTATAAGTTGGCTAAGTCTATAGGCAACATCAAACTAAATGGAGAGAAACTTAAATCAATCCCACTGAAATCAGGGACAAGGCAAGGCTGCCCACTCTCCATAGCTCTTCAACATTGTTCTTGATGTCCTTGCTAGAGCAATAAAACAATTAAAGGATATCAAGGGGATTCAGTTCAGAAAGGAAGAAGTCAAAGTATCACTATTTGCAGATGATATGATAGTATACCTGAGTGGCCCCAAAAACTCTACCCAGGAACTGTTACAACTGATAAACACCTTCAGCAAAGTGCCTGGATACAAAATTAACTTAAAAAAAAAATAGTAGCCCTCCTGAATACAGAAGACAAATGGGACGAGAAAGAAATTAGGAAAACAACACTCTCCACAATAGCCACTAATAACATAAAATACCTTGGGGTGATTCTACCAAGCAAGTCAAAGACTTGTATGAAGAAAAAAAATAATTCCAGTCTCTGAAGAAAGAAATAGAGGAAGATTTCAGAAGATGGAAAGATCTCCCATGCTCATGGCTTGGCAGGATTAACATAGTAAAAATGGCCATCTTACCAAAAGCAATCTACAGATTTAATGCAATTCCCATCAAATTACCAAAAATTCTTTACAGACCTTGAAAGAAAAAAATCTCAACTTCATATGAAATAACAAGAAACCCAGAATTGCTAAAACAATCTTCTACAATAAAAGATCTTCTGGAGGAATCTCCATCCCTGATCTTAAACTCTACTGTAGAGAACAGTAATAAAAACTGCATGGTACTGGCATAGAAACAGAATGGTGGATCAATGGAACCGAACAGAGGACCCAGAAATAAACCCACACACTTATGGACACCTGATCTTTGACAAAGATGCCAAAACCATACAATGGAAAAAAAGATAGCATCTTCAACAAGTGGTGCTGGTCTAACTGGATGCCTACATGCAGAAAAATGCAAATAGATCCATACTTATTATCCTGCACAAAACTGGTCCAAGTGGATAAAAGATTCAATATAAAACCGGACACACTAAAGCTGTGTGTGTGTGAAGAAAAAGTGGGAAAAAGCCTTGAGCTCATTGGCACAGGAGACAACTTCCTAAACAGAACACCAACAGCACAGGTTCTAAGAGCAACAATCAATAAATGGGACCTCATGAAACTGAAAAGCTTCTATAAAGCAAAAGACACTGTTTTCAGAACAAAACGACTGCCTACAGATTGGGAAAGGATCTTCACCAACCCTCTCTGACAGAGGGCTAATATCCAGAATATATAAAGAAATAAAGAAGTTAAAAAGCAACAAATCAGGAAATCCAATTAAAAATGGGGTACAGAGCTAAACAGAGAATTCTCTGTAGAGGAATATCAAATGGCAGAGAAACAATTAAAGAAATGCTCAACATCCTTAGTCATCAGGGAAATGCAAATCAAAATGACCCTGAGATTTCATCTTACACACATCAGAATGGCTAAGATCAAAAACTCAAGTGACAATGCTGGAGAGGATGTGGAGAAAGGGTAACTCTCCTCCATTGCTGGTGGGAATGTCAACTTGTACCACTTTGGAAATCAATCTGGTGCTTTCCCAGACAATTAGAATAGTGCTACCTCAAGATCCAGCTATACCACTCCTAGGAATTATATCCAAAAGGTGCTCAAGTGTGCAACAGGCACATTTGCTCAACGATGTTCATAGCAGCTTTATTTGTAATAGCCAAAGCTGGAAACAACGCAAATGTCCCTCAGTTGAGGAATGGATACAGAAATTGTTGTACATTTACACAATGGAATATTACTCAGCAATTAAAAACAAAGAAATCATTAAATTCGCAGGCAAATGGTGGGAATTAGAAAAGATCATCTTGAGTGAGGTATCCCAGAAGCAGAAAAAAGTAAGTACATAGTATGTACTTACTTATAAATGGATATTACACATATAATATAGGATAATCATACTAAAATCTGTACACCTAAGGAAGCTAATAAAGAAAGAAGACCCTGGTTAAGATGATCAATCCTCATTCAGAAAGGCAAAGAGGATGGTCATTGGAAGAGAAAGAAAACAGGGAACAGGACAGGACCCTACCATAGAGGGACTCTGACCCTATCCTGCATTGTATCAAAGCAGATGCTGAGGCTCATAGCCAAACTTTGGGCAGAGTGCAGGGAATCTTATGAAAGAAGGGAGTGATAGAAAGACCTGAGGGGACAGAAGCTCCACAACGAGAGAGAGAGAAAAAAATCTGGGCACAGGGGTCTTTTCTGATACTCCAAACAAGGACCATTCGTGGAAATAACCTAGAACCCCCGTACTAATGTAGCCCATGACAGCTCACTGTCCAAGTTGGTTCCCTAGTAATGCAAACAGGGACTATCTCTGACATGAACTGATTGGCCTGCTCTTTGATCACCTCCCCTTGAAGGGGTGCAGTCTTACCAGGCCACAGAGGAAGACAATGCAGCCACTCTTGATGAGACCTGATAGACTAGGATCAGTGGACTGGGGGAGGAGCATGGGTGAAAAGGAAGGGAGGATGGGATTGGGAGGGACGATGAAGGGGACTACAGCTGGGATACAAAGTGAATAAACTGTAATTAATTAAAAAATAAATTTAAATGAAATTTAAAAAAAGAAGTGGAGCAAGAAACCAGCTGACAGAAGAAAGAAGGAGCTTTGAGTTGAAGGGTATTTAAGACGGTGTAGAGACATAGAAGGAACTCTTTAGCTCTTTGGCCTTGGACCCTTGGCTTTTTGTGTTTAGCAGTATAGCTTTTTGGCTCTTGGGTTCTTTGAGCACTTGGCATTGGGCTTTTGGCTTTTTCCTTCTGGGACATCAGCTGTATGGGAAGATCAACTGGTTGTTTTATCTGCCTCTCTGAGCTAGTAGGTTTTTACCCCAGCATCTGGCTCATGAATCTTCATTGATAGAATTGAACAATTTGAGTTTTTCCATTCCTTATAACAACAACTTCTTCCTGCTGCATTATCAGGATCCAGGGCTTCTTCCAATGTGTTTCTAATGGATAGTTTCTCAGATCTCCAGAAGATGGCCAGGTGGACCTCAGGTGGACCTCTGTCCAATAATTCTTTCTTTTCTGCCTCTGGATCTCTTCCTGTTCTATTCCAACAAGATTAGCCATGTTTCCTCCTTTATCTCCTCAGCATCTCACAAAGCCCACAATATTCAAAGTTTCTAATCCTTAGCTTTTAAGCAGAGGTCTGGGTTGGCTCAGGCTCAACACAGTCTAAGAGCTGAAATGTTGCCACCAAAGCCCACTGGACCTCGGGAATAATTGCATCACAATCATAGAATTGTCAGGGCTTCTGGCCTCTTTGCTCACCTGGTACACAGGTAGAAGAAAAGTTGAGGAAAGAGACAAGCTTAGGCTTAAACAAGTGTAGAAGCTCAGAGCCCCAAGTTTATCATTTTTCCTAATCCTGGTTATAAACCATCTGACAGGCAAAAAGAAGAGACAGAATGAGGGTCAAAATACATGTTTGGGGCTAGAGATGGCTCAGTGGTTAAGAGGGCCTTCTGCTCTTCCAGAGGACCTGGGTTTGGTTCCCAGCACCCACACCTGGTAACTCGAAACTGTCTATAATTCCAGCTCTAGGGGACCCCACAATGTCAACCACTCGTGTGCACAGAGACTCATATAGACACACAAACACAAGATTTATAGTAAGATAGAATTGTCTAGAAAAGTTTTGTTCCTGACAGAGTAGAATTGGAGAGCTGGCTACACTGTGGAGCAAAAAAAGTCCCCTGAAGTCTAACCCCAAGCATGACCTCAGGCTGTTCCTGTGAGTCATACCCACTCCTGCCCCATACCAGCCTATCCCTGTGCACTTGAGAGAATGGAGAACACAGCCAATGTCTGTGCAGGAGAGAAGACTCCTGGGAGACCTGACAGGGGCAGGCTCACCTCAGTCTGCCAAGTCCCTCAGAGAAAGTCTTCCCAAAGGAGGAGCAGAGACGGACCTGATAGATGCTGAGGACCCGTCACGGACCTCCGAGAGGAGCTCACTGGAGGTGACTGCCCATCAGGAATTATCACATCTGCACCAGAAGGGTGACCAGTTCTTCATCCTCTTGCCCTGGTGACCACGGTTGCAGCTTCCTCCCACCCTTGAGTTTTAGGCTGGGGTGACAACTCTGCAGACAGAGGGCTCTGACCCAAAGTGTCTGTCAGCTTGGTGGGTCACCTTTCACCCACTAGATCTATGAGAAATCTTCTCTCAGTCAGGATCCGGCTCCTGGTTCTCCTGCTAGCCTGAGAGCTAACTTGAAAGTGTTTGGCACTTTCTCCATCTCTCTTGCTACCCAAGTCTCTTCAACCAGGGACATGACAGAAAATGGAATTACAACTAACCCCAGGGAAACTCTGCTACCTTCCCAGACACAGGAGTAACTGAGAACAGTTTGCTTTGAGTGCAGGTTTTTTGTTTGTTTGTTTGTTGTCTTTGCATGAATAAGACATTCCCAGCAACTGGATATGCTTGTTCCTGGTGTACCCCTTTGCAATCCTCTAGGTTCCCCTTTCTCCTCCTCCCTGCCACCACATTCCAAAAAAAGAGGGGCAATCCCTCACCACAGCTCAGTTGAGGTTATGGAAATACTTTCATTTTTCTTTTCCCAGTTAGGGCGGAGCCCTTCCTGCTGAGTTTCTACTCAGGCTGACTTCCTGCTCTCAACTGTGGGCCACAGAAGTCTGGAAGCCTGGGCAGAGACCAAGAGAGCACAGTTCACTGTCTCAGGCTCCAGGCAGGTGCTGGAAGGAAGGAAGCAGGTGGGTCTTCTTTCTGCTCTGTGACTTTTTCCTCTGACAGTGTGGGTGAGTTTATGTCTTGAGTTACTGGCTGCAGCTTCAGTCAGTCCAGACCACCTGACCTGCAGAAGCTTTGCACTATAGTATGAGAGGAGAGATTGTGGGGCAGATTGAGACAAAATGAAGAGAGAGGGGGGAGAGAGGGAAGAATGGGGAGAGAGAGAACATCTGGAGTTTTTAACTGTAAGATATCTGCTGGCAAACCCAGCTTGCCCTACTGTACACAAGTCCTAACTCTCCTGTTGGCAGCCACTGCTCAGCTGTCAGAGGAGACACTGGCCACGGCTAACAGGGACTCCTGCCGCTGTCCTCTGTGGCATGGCTGTGATTATCTTACAACTTCTGGGCGCTCTCAGTCTCTCTGCCTGTCCCTGCTTTCACTAGGTTACCTCATGGGAAGAAGGCCAAATAGCAGAGGCTTCATTGTAAATAGCTGTTTCTCCCTCTACCCAAATCTTGATCTCCTTCATGTGTTGGATTTGTCACCTAGAAAGCTGTCCCCAGGCTCACTCCTAGTCTGAGCTCCCACTGTCAAATCTCATTCATGGAAGACAAAGGAAAAGAAAAGACCTCTGAAAGCAAAGGCCAGGGCAAGCTTCATGTTTCTATTTTCACTTGAGTTTTCTGTTCCAGGTGGATGGTACTTCTGACAAGAAATGGTAGAATTGTTTACTCTAGCAGTAGTGATTCAAATATGCTACTTATAAGTAATAATAGTCTGTGTTTCTATTAGTGCAAAGGAAGTAATATTATTTTTCAGTCTCCCAGTTGAACCTAAGGCCTTGAATATGCTTGACTATGTATCTCTCAATTTATTTTTAAAATTGTTGACTCGAGGTTTTGCTAAGTTACTCGTGATGGTCTTGAACTCCTTCTACAGCCCAGGCTTGCCTTGAATTTGTGGTCCTGTTCTTCTATGGGTTCGTCTGCGTAGTTAGTCTTCTATAGGTTGGGGCTACAGGCCTGTACCATCAGGACTGTTTCACAATAAAATGTGTTTTATAAGTTTTCAAGTCCTGTGGAAATATAAAAAAATTTTTTTAATCCTCGTAGCTCACCCCACTCCTTGGGTGCCAGCTTCCCTAACTTTTTTTTTTAATCTCACCTTAAGATTTCTTGATCTTTTTATTATGTAATCTAGGCTGACCTGAAACAATGTAGACAAGGCTGGCCTCAGACTCACAACAGAGATCCACCTGCCTGTCTCAAAAGAACTGGGATTAAAGGTGTGCATGACCATACCTGGATATTCCTTTTCTTCTAAAAAAAAAAATAACTTATTGAGGTACGTGTGTGTGTGTGTGTGTGTGTGTGTGTGTGTGTGTGTGTGTGCATGTGTACTTGTGTGAAAGAGAGAGAGATTAAGGCAGGTACCTTTGGAGGACAGAAGAGGATGCCCCCTGTAGTAGCAGCTACAGATGGTTATAAGCTGCCAGACATGGGTGCTGGGAACTGAACTCCGGGCCTTTGGAAGAGCAGTCATTCATTAACTGTTGACCTTTATCTTTTTCTGTGCATTTCGGTGTGTTATTTGTCTTCATAAATATGCAATACATATTTTCATTTTGTTATATTGTCCTGTGTTTTGAGCCTTAACTTATTTAAAAAGCAGAAGCGTTGGCAAAGTCCTCACCATAATGCATGTTCATTTACTTTGTTCTTTCTGACAGTTTCCTGCTGTTTAGATTACTGGTGTGTGAACCCAGAGATTGATAATTCTGTGTTAGGTTTATTCACGTGTGCAGCTGTGCATGTGCCATGGAGTCAGGGGCAAAGTACAGGTACTGATTCTTTGTTTCTTCCATGTGTAGAGGAATTTTAATCCAGGAACATGGCTACCCTGGCAAGGGATCATATCCAAAGAACTAGGTCTGTGTTATCCAGCTGGAATATACACATGCCCTTAGAACACAGTTTTAGCCCCTCTGGATGGAATATACACCCTTAATCCCTCTGAGTTGAATTAGTATACACCTTTAATCCCGAAGACATCTAATTGAGGGATAGACTAGTAAGGGACAGACAGAGTGACAGAGAAAGATTTGACAGAATGAATCAGAGATAGGATACACCAAACAAGAAAGAAAATATACTTAAGAGAATGCATACAGAGCAACAAAGTTCATTCCTGGAGACAGTCCAGTCCAGTCCAGTGTAGTTTGTTGCAGTTCAGCTGAGTACAGTTACGGTCATGCAGTTCAGTTCCTAGAGTTCAAAGGCAGTTTTCCCAAACAGATCAATCCAGTGAAAAGTTGAGAGAATTCAGGTTGAATCAGTCAGCTTGCAGAGGAGTTCTGAGTCAAAACAGCCAGAACAGTTCTGAGTTGAACCAGCTAGCCAGAGTTCAGACAGAGCTAGAAAGGGTAAGCTTATTCAGCAGTAAGTCTAGAAGGCTGACAAAATTCTAGGCCTAGATTAGCAGATGGAGGCTAGAAGCTGAAGCCTTCAAGGTCTGGGCTTCAAGAAGATTAAATTGTACAGAGGCTAGTAGATTCCAGACGTAGGGGTAGTTAGATAAGAACTTACTGGGCTCTGGCCAAACCGTGTTTTCATAAAGCTTGATTATGGCTCTCATCTCATCCCATCACCTGAGGAAATAAAGACAGCATTTACACATGTGGTTGCTGAGAGCCAACTCAAGTTCTCATTCTTGTATGCTGGCTCCTTTACCAGCTGAGCCATCTTGACAGTCCTTCCCAGGAGCTTTAAACCACTCTTCCTTTGATGGACTTTAGGTCACTACTTTGTTCACTGTCACCAACAAGCTGTAAGAACAGTGGCCATATGCTTCATTATGCTAACCAAAAAGTATTTTGTCTAGTATCAAAAATGAACAAAAGAGGAACTACTGAGACAACAGACATTAATGACAACTTGCTCATAGATGCTGCCAATGGCTTGTGAGGAGGAGGCAAAGGCAATGAACTTCCCTGCCAGTAGCAAATGAGATGAGGAGTCTTCTCTCTCTCAGCCAAAGTGAGCAAAGGCACCAGAGATGTGTGCTAACTTCCACTCTCCCTGTTAAGTAGGAATCAGGTTGTTTTCCTCGTGTGCTGGCACTAAGTTTGCTCTCCTGTCACTGGTCCATTTTCCCTGACTTTAGTCAGGTGTTATCCGTTCTTCCACACATTTACTAAATGTATTCAGAATCTGTAAATATATTCTCCCTTGTCTTTTAACACCGTGTATGGTGAGTTTTGTCTTTCATAAAGTTAGAATTTGAATTTAAGTATTGATTTTGTAAGAAAGAAGTGTCCACATATAAAGTGACACTGGAAGCCTCTGAGAAAATCAAGCACTGTTGAGGTTTTGCGTTTCTGCTTGCAGTACCTGCGCTGGCACCTAGAGCTCTCAGCTTGCCAGGCAAGTTCCCTACCACTGAGCTCCACTGCCAGATCCCTTTTTATTTTATTTTTTTTATTTTGAGACAGAATCTCAATCGGTTGAGATTGAAACTGTAGTTTTCCTGCCTAACTTCCTGAGTAGCTGGGCTTATAGGCCTGCCCTGTCAGGCCTGGCATCAGTCTTTGTTTTGTTTTGACCACAGTTCTGTGTTCTTCAAATAACAGATTTAGGTCTATCTTTATTCAGAAAAAGTTTCTTCTCTAGTATGTTTCCATTTTTAGGAAAAAGGAGTCTACACTATCTCAGCCTCCCCAATGCTTTTCTCTTTCTGATGTTTAACTTTGCAGTCATAAAGCTGTCTCCAACTCTCCCTCATGACAATGACTTAAGTTCTAGTAGGTTTGTTTCTTGTCGATTCTAAATTTTAAAAAATCGTGTGTGTGTATGTGTATGAATGCAGTGAGTTTGTGTGCATTATATGAATGCTGTGTGTGTGCATAGTGAGTGTATATGTGTGTGTAAATGCAGTGTGTCTGTATGTCTCTGAATGCTGGGTATGTGTCTGTATGAATGCATTGCGTGTCTATGTGTGAATGCAGTCTGTGACTGTGCATGCTGTATGTGTCTACATGTGTGTATGTGAATGCAGTGTGTGTGTGCGTGCCCACACAGCTGACTGGACTGTCCCATAGGGTGCCACCAATAGTGGAGACAGGGCTCCATCCTTGAGTGTCATCTGCACCCCATTTGTTATTTTTCAGTGGTCTGCTGCGTCAGTCAGTGTTCTTCACTGAGCAAGATGGAGGCCTCCTGCAGGGCACTTGAGGGTTCTGGGGAGCTGTATGTTCTCCTTTGTTTCTGTTTCCCAGCTATAGAGGAACTTAGGTTCACCCCAGGCTGAGGAGGGACAATGCGGTCAAAGTGACACTGCTTCTCTTGCCCCTCGGATGTGGGTTTTGTGGCCCACGGGTAAGGTTCAGCCTCATTCTCCAGTTATTGTGTGTGAGAGGGCACGGGGGTAGTTTCGGGTTGGCCAGTCTGTGCTGGGAACTAGGTCATAGAGATCCTGACAGCAACAAGATGTCTGTTTAACCTAAATGCTGTCTGTCACCTCCTGTCATTCCTATTCAGACTATGGAAGCATCCGGTCCTGCAGTCTCTTGGGTTTCTTATTGCATTGATAAAACACCAGGGCCAAAAATAACTTGGAGGGGGGGGGAGTTTATTTGGCTTACAGTTCCACAGCACTCTCCATCATTGAAAGAAGTCAGGGCAGGAGTTGAAGCAGCCGCAACGGCGGTATGCTGTGGCAGATGCTACGGTTATACTGGCTTCGTCAGTTTTCTTTCTTGTGTGCCCCAGAACAATGTTTCCAGGGGTGGCAATGCCCACAGTGGGCTGGCCCCTCCCGCATCAACTATCGATCGAGAAAATGCTCCACAGACTTGTCCTCAGGCAATATGAATGGAGGCATTTCTTTTAATTCAAGTTCCTCTTTTCAAAAAACTTCAGCTAATATCAAGGTGGCAAAAAACAAAACTTGGAATTTTAAAAATCCAAACCAACTAGGACACAATGTGTGTTCATCATTCACAGTTTCCTCCTTTCTTTGTGCTCCGTGGGAGAAATGCGATTGTCAGCTTCCTTACTCTATTAGGTTTCTAAGTATCCTTTTTTATGTCTGACAGCAAAGTTTATTTGCAGTAAAATATATGCATTTGAATATAAATCCAGTGACATTTTACAGAGCTGGGTACCCAGCACCACAGTCTAGATGTGGAGCTTAGTCCTTCCCATATCCCTAACAGAATCCCTCACAGCTGTGCACAGTCCTTGCTTGTCTCCCCTAGTCCAAGCGACCACTGGTACATCTGTCTCTATAGACTTCATGTCTGGACATTTCATAGGAATGGAATTATACATTATGTAGCCTTCTGTGTTTGCCTTCTTTCACTAAGAAAAAATATTTTTGAGATTCATCCATGTTGTAGATTGCTAAAACTTTGTTCCTTTCTATTGCAGAATAATATTTCGTGGTATAGTTTGTCCAGTTTTATTTTTCTACTCACCAACTAAAGTCCATTTCAGTTGTTTCTATCTCTTGCCTATCAATAAAGCCACCAGAAATATGTGCATGTAAGTTGGTGAGATTTTTCTTTTCACCAGTCCTGTAGGACAACACCTAGTAGTAGAATTCTTGAATCATAATTAGCATTATGTTGGCTGCAGAGATGGCTCAGCAGTTAAGAGCACTGGCTGCTCTTCCAAAGGACCCAGGTTCAGTTCCCAGCAGCCACATGGCAGCTCGCAACTATCTGCAACACCAATTCCAAGGGATCTGACACCTTCACACTAATGCACATAAAATAAAAATTAAATAAATTAGCATTCTGTTTGGCTTTGTTTTGTGTGTGTGTGTTGTATGCAGTGTACATTCATGTTCATACAAATATTCTCATGTGTAAGAGCACATGTGTGTGGGGAAGCCATAGGCTGATGCTGGGGTTCTCCTTTGATCACTCCTTATGTACAGAGGCGGGGTCGGTCTCACTTGAACTCAGAGGATCCAGCCCAGCTAGTTCATTTATAGGGTAAACTCAAGACCCTCTATCTTATGCATGTTGGTTCTTCAAAGTCTTTCTTTCATATAAAAACTTTATGGTTTGCACAAGCATCTATAGCTGTGATGATAATTTTCCTATGATCTTTCCCTCTCCAGGATGTCCACAAAACCTGAGAACACAGAGACATTTTTCATTAAGCCTCTATTCCTGCACTTCCAAAAACAAAAAGTGACGATTTCACATGCAATTAAAAAGCCATTTCCTTTCCTTGAGGGCCTCCGTGACCAAAATCTCATCACAAATAAAATGTATCACGTAAGTGAAGTTTATTGCATCATAACCTGCTAAACAAGCCCCAAATTAAGTTACACTTTGATATCTTGGAACCAAACTTCAGACTGAATGACTGACGGTTTTTAAGGTTGGACTTAATTTTTTAAAAGAATTTATTCCTTATGTGCATGTGTATGTTTGTGTGTCCGTGTCCGTGTGTGTGTGTGTGTGTGTGTGTGTGTGTGTGTGTGTCCACATAAGTGTTGATGCCCACAGAGTTCAGAAAAGGGCTCCAGGTTCCCTGGAACTGGAATTACAGTTTTGAGCCACCTGATGTGGGTTCTGGGAATGGCACCTAGTTCCTCTGTAAAAGAAACACATTCTCTTAACCACTTAGGCATCTCGCCAGGCCCCAGGCTTCATTTTGATAAAGTAAGCTCATGGATTTTCATAGCATTTTGTAGACATATTGGTTACAATAATAAATTCATCATTTGTGAATCAGAATTATGGCCTCAGATTTAAATTCTTGGTTTCCTGTGAGTAATACCTCTTATGTAAATATTTCTGGAAGTGTTCTCTCCAGGAATAAAAGAGAGATGAAGCAGAGGCTTCAGGAGATGGTCCTACTTTTATCTGAGGAAATGGTGTTCCATGCACCTTCTGGAATCAGTGAGTGTTGTTGAAGATAAGCTAGATCAGAATGGAGGTTCTCCATGGAAGTGCAATGTGTTCTGCATTTTATACCATGTAGTTGATGCAATTTAAACTAAATTTAAAAAGTAAACAAGCTAAAATCAAAAGTGATTTTAATTAACTGTTCAATTATTTTATCAAACTGAAATTTCAGTTAGCACATTTTGTTTTAATAAGTGTCTATATTTAAAACCTAGATTTGGGGCTTCAGAGACGGCCTAGTGGTTAAGAGGAATGGCTGCTCTTCTGGAGGACCCAAGTTCAATCCCCAGCACCCACATGGCAGCCATAGCTGCCTGAAACTTCTATGCCAGAGGATCTGACTTCCTCACACTTGTAGGCAAAACAAAAATGTACATAAAATAAAAATTATTTTTTAAAAGCCACCAAGATTTGAGAACATTAAAACCTACAGAGCGTCTTATTAGGACAAATTTTTTAACTGTTCATTTATGTTGTTTTCTGGGCACGAGTGTTTTGTCTGCCTATTTGCCTGTGCACGCCTGTGTCCCTGGCGCCGTTGGAGGTCAGAAGAGAGGCCACCAGATTCCACAGAACTGGAGTCAAGCAAATGACTATGAACCACCATGTGGGGGCTGGGAATTGAACCCAGGACCTCTGGCATATCAGCCAGTGTTCTTAACCACTGAGCCATTTCTTCAGCCCCTCACGTGTTTCTTTTGCCTTATGAATACTCTGCCCTCCGGTACAGTTCGCAATCAGAGGGAATGGACACCCTGTTTTCTTTAGGTCAGATCAGTACCAGTGGGAGGACAGAATAGCACTGACAACCTGCCAAGTCTATTCCACAAGTCTCTTGGCTTTTAGCTATACATGAGCCATTTTTTTCAAGGATGTATTTCTTTTTCTTTTCACATGTACAAGTATTTTGCCTGCATCTATGTGTGCATGCCACTTGTGTGTGTGGTGCCCACGGAGGCCAGAAAAGAACCCTGAATCACTTGGAACTGGAGGTACAGATGTTTGTGAGCTGGCGTGAAGGTGCTGGGACCCAAACTTGGGTCCTCTGCAGGAGCAGCAAGCACTCTCGACCCCTGAGCCATCCACCTCTCCAGCCCTCCACACCTTTAGAAACATTATTACCTTTATTATTTATTTACTTATGAGTACATGTGTGTGTTTGTGGTGTGTGGGTATCTGTGTATGAGGCAGCTGCTGTGCATACGGGCAGGTAGGAGGACAACCTGTGGCTAGCTGGTTCTCTGCTTCCACCATCTGAATCCCAGGGATTGCACTCAGACTTCCAGGAGCAGGGACAACAAGTGGCTACACCCCATGAACAATCCCACCAGCCCCATGCTGACCTCTAACTCATGTTTCCCCTTCAAAGGAGGCCCCTCTTAAATGTCATGTAAATGAGAGTGGTAGTTTGACATCACCAGTGATTATTTTCACAGAGAAAATATTAACTTGTTTCATGAAGCAGTCATGGAAATACAAAACTTCCCACTAGAAGATATGTTTGGAGGGGGTTGGGGTATACTAACCATAATTATTTCTAGGGCTCTTCTGGGACTTGGAAGCCTGCACTTAAATTTTCTCCACTCATTGTTTTTAAGGATTTTCAAGAGTCTTTTAGAAACCTGGTCCCTCTACAAAGAGTGATCTACAGAGCCCTGGAAGAACTGGGGAAGATATTTGACATGAAGGTTCTGCAGGAATTGTTCTGTAAGGTCAACATGGAGAATTACCCTGATTTGGAACCCATTTCCAAAAGTTTTAATAATGGTAATTGGGTTTAGTATCAACCTTTGAGATCACAGCCCATTTTTTTCCCCAACAAGTGTATATTAAGCTTTTATTGTATGCCATATATTGTGCAGTGCAATTGGGGATAAAACTAACATGCCATACATCATCTTAAAGCTTATGTCTAATGGCTCTGCTAGGCACCCTTTGGAGGTCTGCTCAGCTGGGCACTTAGCCTCTCCAGGCAGTGAGAGCCACACCAGCATCAGGCTATGTAGAGGAGGATAGGATTAGAAGTGCTGAGTCCCAGTACAGTAGCACTGTTGTGTCTCTTGAGCGCGAGCCCTTATACTGACATACGTCACAGTCCATCAGGTTGGCTAGCACCCACCTTGAGTGACAGCGCAGCTGGGGGTGCAGGATCCATCTTACTTTAGCACCACCTGCTCATAGAAATCAACAATGTGTGAGCCAGTCTTCAACTCCATCTCACCCACCTTTAAAGCTGCAGGGGGCTTCCCTTAGGTATGTGCCAGATCCTAGACCTTCCACCCAGGAAAGCCCCTCCCCCATTTATTCTTACCCCTGTGACAACCCGGAAGCCATCTTTTGCTTCTATTGTTCCTGTTTGGAAGTATACCAACTTCTGAACACTGGAAGAGAAACACAGATCACTGTGTATCTTCTAATTATTAATTTTGACCTTGAGTGTCTTCTTTCTCTGTGGGAAGCATAAAGGCTTCCTTGTGGGAATCTTCTCTGTCCCAGGGCATGATAGGTGAATTTTGTCATGTGGGACCTATTGAACTTGGAATGATTAGAGGACTAGAAATTCCTAAATGTATAATGTTGAAATGTTGCTTCTTGTCTCTTCTGGAGATCTCTAATGGCTTATCCTCTTTTTCCCTCTCCTTCTCCCACTTAAGTATTACTGAATGCATTGTGTTCCCAAGGAAGTGACAAAGGAGACCTGAACCCCGAGATAAATCTCAAACAAGGTAATGTCAACTGGAGAAAGCTTCTTATTGCCTCTGAGAATAGGAAATAAAGATGATCGTTAGACAAGTGTGAGTCAGGAAAGAAATAGAGAAGGCAAGGAGGGGAGTTGGTATGAGCCTGGGGTTATCTTTCCTGTACTGTGATTACTTACCCAGAAGAAGCTAGGCACTCAAAATTCTGGGGCAGGAGGAATGTGAGTTTGAGGCCCACCAACTTACATAGTAAAACAAACAGAACCCATGTCAATTTATTTGAGTTCACAGTTTTAGAGACTTCTGCCCAGATGGTTTGTCCTCACTATTTAAACTTATGGTGTGTGGGTATTTGTGTATGAGCCAGCTGGTGTGCATACGGGCAGGTAGGAGGACAACCTGTGGCTAGCTGGTTCTCTGCTTCCACCATCTGAATCCCAGGGATTGCACTCAGACTTCCAGGAGCAGGGACAACAAGTGGCTATACCCAATGAACAATCTCACCAGCCCCATTAGTACAGAACATCAAAGCAAGGAGCTGAGTGAAGCAAAGATGTTTACCTCATGGGGACCTGGAAGCAAGGAAAGAGATGAGGTGCCTGTGGTCCGTCAAGGGTACACCCTAGTGATCTAACTTCCTTCCACTAGGCTCTGCCTGTGAAAGGTGGCACCAGCATCCATGGGCGCCATTCTGAGGGCCAGACCTCTAATACACGAGCCTGGGAAGGTGGGGCACTGGAGATCCAAACTGTCACCTGCCTCTGATGGGGTGTGGGGTCCTGGCAGAGCAACCATGACATCAGATGGTCACCCTGGACCAATGATGAAGAATATGAACCCAGTGTCAGCAATCCAGATGAAAGAGAGTGACTGCTCACAAGGAGCTGTGGTTTAGAAAAGCCCCTAGAGCAGACGACCAGTGTGAAACTGTGAAGGGTGAAGCAGTGTGGTCTCTGGTGGCACCAAAGTGGAAACGCTCTGTAAGAGAGATGCCCTTGTTTTGCCTGAGCCCATACATTATCTGACCTCCGACACCAGAGGGGTTTCCCACACAACCAATTCTCCAGACTACAGCAGGGTATCTTATAATTAGTTAAATTCAGATAAAGGGCTCAGTGTGATTAAGACTGCCTCCCACTTCAGATGCTGGTTACAAGTTTCAGGGTGTGACCTATGCTTCTGAGCAATTGCCCATAAATCATAGATCACCATACCCCATCAGCCTACAGAACTGGTTAGCACAGCTCATGAAACTCAAGGAAACATTAATTACTATTTATTGTAAAAGTTATAGAGCAAAAATCGCCAGATTGGGCGAGGGGAGGGGAGAAGATGCCGCATTTGGCAATGTGCATACAAGCACGAGGGCTTGTGTTTGATCCCCTGACCTCGTGTGGAAAACAGCCCATGCACAGGGGCACATGCTGTAATCCTGTACAGGGAGGCAGAGACAGGCGTATGCCTTGAGCTCACTGCCCAGGCAAGTTGGCAAATTCTAGGCTAGTGAAAAACCATCTCTAAAGCAGGAAGCCGACACCACCTGAGGAATGACACCCAAGGCTGCCCTCTGTCCTCCACACACATGTGTGCACACGGAGAATCACCATATGGGAGAGGACCATCCCTGGGCACAGCACCCTTCCAGCACTATGGAGTTTGTCAACTCTAAATCCCTCTGAACAGAGTCACTTAGGATTTTAATAAAAGTTGTGTTACACAGGGATGATCAATGAAATCGTTAGCGGTGTGATCAAGGCAACTTCTAGCTCTTCTCACCATGGAGGTCAGGGGTCAACTCTTGATTTTGTTCCCCTGGCCACCAGCCCTCCATTCCTCAGGACTTTCCAGACCTCACCTCTTTAACACACACTGGGGTGTTACTGAGGAAGGCTGGCTGTGAGCTAGAGTAGATTGATGCCCTTCTCACCTTAATCACTTTTCTGGCCAGGAACAGGGGATAAGGACCAAAACTGTCATTCTTCCTATGTTTCTGTGTCACACTTGATGTCAGAAGAGATAGATTCAAACATGAAAAAGGTTGTTTGAGAGCAAAAATATCCCAGAAGAAAGATATATAGAGGAACACACATACTCTCTCTCTCTCTCTCTCTCTCTCTCTCTCTCTCTCTCTGTGAGAAATTGGTGGAAGTGTGGAAAGAGCACACGGATTCTTTGAGAGACAGACACAAAAAGAGCAAAGACTATGAAAAGAGCAGAAAGAATAAAGGACAATGACAAAAGGAGCTATGTTGATAGTTTTTGTTGGTTTTTTTGTTTTGCTTTGATTAGCATTTACTCTTGTATACTGTCTAGCCCAGTGCCATCAAAGACTGGTATTATTTAGATGCCCAGTTTATGGGTGAGGAAGCTAAAATTGAGAGAGACCGTGTGTGGAATATTCAAGGGGTCAAATGAAAAAGTGAAAAGCCACGTGTTCTTAAGGCAGAGTCTGCATTCTTGAGGCTCTACTGCTAATCTGATGGGAAACATGAAACAGAAGTGGAGGGAAAATGAGAGAAATTTCAGGAAGAAATAGAAAGAATGGGGAGAAAATGGAGACTAGCCATCACTGAATCGTCATGAGAAGGCCAGCAGGGATGAGGCATCTGATATATACAAGGAAGATGTTGTATGTGTTGTATGAAAGGAGATACGGTCCATGGACTCCTAGGAAGTCCTGTAAGGCCCTTGGACAGAGAAGCTGTGGGCACACAAGCAGACATACTTTAGCCATGCATATGAGGACAAATCAATCACCGTTAGGTGCTAGAGTGGCCTGGGCAGGATTCTACTCAACCAGAGGTGACTCTGACACCACACTCATGACCTGAGTCTGACTTCCAGAACTAGCGGGAATTTATCAGCTCCAGATAAACTCTGGATTGATACTTCAAGGGGCTATTTAGACCTTACATCATAAAGACAAGAGAGAACCCCTGCTTCAGCTCCTGACATAAACATCTGATTTCTTCTCCTTAGGACCTAGTAAGAGCTGTTCTCAAGGAAGCCTGACCTGGTCACCTTTGGATCCCTCCTGGTCTGATGGTCTGTTCTTGTTTACTCTATAAACATTGCTGACTCATCCCATGTGTTTGCTTTCTGTTGCTGTGATGAAACACCATGACCAAGAGCAACTTGGAGAGGAAAGGTTTAGTTTATCTTACAGCTCATAGTCTATTATGAAGGGCCATCAGGACAGGAACTTGAGGCAGGACCTGAAGCACAGGCCATGGAAGTTACTTCCTGGTTTGTTACCCACGGCTTCCTCAGCCTACTTTCTTATGTATACATGAGGACCTACCAACACAGGATTGACACCATCCACAGTGGGCTGGGCCCTTCCATGTTAATCATTAATCAAGCTGCCCCCACAGACTTGGCTCCAAGTCAATCAGATAGAGGACATTTTCTCAGTCAAGAGTCTCTGACGATCCTCTCTTGCTTTGTTGACAAACAAACCAGCCCACACACCATGAGTATGGGGGATACCCTTTCCTTTCATTTCAGAAGCGAAGAGTTGGAAAATCCTTGCTGGGGGAAAAAGAAGCTAAACAGTCAGAGGAGTTGGCCAGGGAGTCACAAGGCACAAACCCCTTCCAGGGTAGGCGTAGCCATACGTGCAGATGGAGCCAGAAGTAGAATCAAGAGATGAGGGTGCTGGAGAGGTGGCTCAGGGGTTAAGAGCACTGGCTGCTCTTCCTAAAGGTCCTGAGTTCAATTCCCAGCAACCACATGGTAGCTCACAACCATCTATAAAGAGATCTAGCGCCCTTTTCTGACCTGTGGGCACACAGGCAGGCAGAATACTGTATAAATAATAAATAAAACTTAAAAAAAAAAAAAAAAGATGAGAAGCAGGGTGAGGAATAATGATAGAAACTGGAAAAGAACGAAGCTCTGTGGGACCTCACCGGTGGTCTGTCTGTCTTCAGATTCCTATGGACTAGAAGTCCAACTAAATAACATTTCAGATGGTCTATATGTGTTTGGTAGAGTTTTGTTTTGTTTGTTTGTTTGTTGTTTTAAAAAAAAACTTAACCATTTCAAAACTGACTATGGAAAAAGTATTATGTATATTTGGGGTTGGCAGTGTTGCTCAGTGGTAGAATGTTTGTCTAGCATGTGTGAAGTCTTTGGCTCAATCCCAGCAATTTCTCTGAAATGGCTACCATGAAGGTATGCGTATTGCCTCATATACATTTTTTTTTTTTTTTGGTGTGGTAAGAATACTTAAAATGCATCGATCTTGAGAACACAGTATGTTCTTATCATGTTGTATAGTGGACCATTTTGAAGTTATTCTTCCTGACTGAAACTTCGTGTTCGTTGTGGCCTCGGTCCCCCTCCTCACTGGCACTCTACTCTCTGAGTCGGACCCTTTCACAAGCCACCTAAAGTGAGATGGTGCAGCTTTTGCTCTTCTGTGCCTGGCTTGCTTCGTGTAATACTCTTGTTCGTCCACGTTGTCTCAGCTGATCGGCTCTCCTTCGTTTTAAGGCTAACTGCAAGTCTATCTTGTGTGGATACCACATTTTCTCCAGCTGCTGGCAGCTATTTAGGCTGAATCCGTACATGGAGACACTTGTCAAGCATCTTGTCAGGCTGTAACAAGTGCAGGCACCGCTTTAGCAAGCTGATTTTTAATTCTCGGGGTTATTTTCAACCGTAGAGAGGATTGTCAAATCACATGGTGGTTTTATTTTCAGGGTTTTTTTGTTTTTTGTTTTTTGTTTTTTTTTTTTTTGGAGAAAATTCCATGCTGTTTTGGTTTCGGGGTTTGTTTGTTGTTGTTTGTTTGTTTGTTTGTTGTTTTTGTAATGGCTATAGAGACTTACATCACCACTCCCAGCACACAGTGTCCCTCTCCTCCACAGCAACACCTCCACTTCCTCTCACTTCTCTTTTTGGTTATATCCATTCTAAAAGGTATGAGGTGGTATCTCACTGGAGTTTCTTAGTGTCATTCTTAGTCAGGGTTTCTATTGCTGCAATTTATAATGGAAGCTTTGGTTTCCTCAAAAACTCAGTTATGTTATGTAAATATCTTTTTGTCTTAATCCCAAGGGTCGGATTTTAGTTTGGGCTTTAGTTTGCCCACAGCTGATAATTGCCCCCTTCGAGGCACGGTCTTTGCCAACTGGTAGTGACCTGCCTCGTACAGCATGGGGAGGGGTATGATGTAGGTCTCTGAGGAATATAAATATGAGAGCCCAGAAAGAGAAGGTGTGGCATGTGGCAGTTTGGAGAAGCCAGAGATGGACAGCGTGGCCATTTGGAGCAGGCAGATGGGAGAAACCTTTCAACGCACTGGCTTGGAGGAGAGTGCTGGCTGTGTTTGCTGTTGATGGAGATTGGTATAGCCACAAAAGAACCCATGATCCTAATCAGCCAGGAGAAGTAATGGGGTCTGTGCTCCCTCTCCCCACTGACCTTCTCTCTCCTGCCTAGCACTAGGGGGTTAGAAAGGAGAGGCTTTAGGAACCCCAAGTAAAATTGGGTTTTAAAGACAAATGCTACTGTGATGAAATCCTTGAGATAAGTAAGCTAGAGGCAAGACCTGATGCAGAGGCCATGGAGGGCTGCTGCTCACTGGTTTGCTTCCCCTGGCTTGCTCAGCCTGCTTTCTTATAGAACCCAGAACCACCAGCCCAGGGATGGAACCATCCGCCATAGGCTGGGTCTTCTACCATTGATCACTAATTAAGAAAATGCCTGACAGCTGGATCTCATGGAGGCATTTCCATTGAGATCCTTCCTTCCTGAGGCTCCTTCCTCTTTGATGACTCTCATGTGCTAACTTGACTTTATGTTTTATTCCACTCGGGACACTGCACTTCCCTGACTATGGTGCTGGGAAATTCTTTGTGTTCCTGTTGGTCATTCATAGTTCTATTGAATAGAAGCATTGAGCATGGGTATCCTTCTGTGAAGGAAAATTGTTTCACCATTGAGTAGTGATGTTTGCTATGAGTGTCTGTACATGGCTGTGAGTTATAATTGCAATAGAGCATCTGCCTATCAGATTAGTAAGACATCTGATACTTTCCCTTTCTAATAGGTGATTATTCATATTAATTCAACCTTATTTGTTGTGGTAGATCTTAAATCAGACCGGAGACCTTCATGCTTCTACATGGACATTTACATCTTTTTCTGTAACCTTTTTCTCTAACTTTTTCTCCCTTTGTTCCTTTACAAAGGAAGTAGGCCTAGATTGTGAGGTGAGCTGTTGGCCAAGACTATGGGGTGTAGCGGGCTTGGAGGCTCATGTCACAGCACTAGCTTGGAGCTCGTAGAAGGCTGCTTAGTATCCAGTTCACTGGGGCAGCAGCAGTGTCAGGTTGAAGGCAAAGCTTGGTTCTGACTTCTCTGTCCTGCCCTCAGCTGGAAGGTATCTCTTTCCCTGCTGTCCTGCTTGGGACTAGAGAGAGTTCAAAGTTGCTTTCTCCACCCTCCTCAATATTGTCTTTTCTTATTTTCTTGCCTCAGGTAGGTGCCATGGTCACTCACTTGGTTCCCTTAGGTATTAGGAAGGAATTTTCATGCATACAGTTGTTCAGTCTGATGTAGGAGGAGGTTGGGCAGTAATTATTGGATTGCTCTTAAATTAGCTTTTTATGTCTCCTCTCATTTTTAAAATTATCCTCTGCTTTTCTTGGATAGCAAACATTTACTTTCTTAGGAGAGCAAACATTTTATTTCTGGTGTTTTTCTGTGCTGTCTATGCCCACCCAGACACATGGGCTTTATGCTACAGACTCTGTGTGATTTTAACACTTGTAAGGAGGGGAAGGCAATAGAATATTATTCTCCTTAATGGAGGAGTACCCCTGGGTAGAGAAAGCAAGGAGAGGAAAAGGGGGATATCAACTAGAGAAAATAAGTAGCCATGGTGGGCAGGCAGGCAGATTTTAGAATAGCATGGAGCCCAACATTTACCATGTTGGCTGAGGGATGACATGACATGAACCTTCCTTCTCAGAAGTTCAAATGAAACAGGCCAATCCTGTAGAACATCTCCTATCAGCTCTCCTGGAAGGAAGCCCAGGAGAAAGACCTTCTGATAGAGGACTGAGCAGGGGGGTAGGGGAGACTTCTGGTGAAGACTGGGGATCAGGCAAGAAACATAGCAGAGAAGGATGACCTGAGACATCCAGGAAGGGCAAAAGGGCAGACACTGGGTGCAGCAAGGAGAGTCCCCCAGGGCACAAAGTGTGGTGAGGAGTGTCTCTCTCTCTCTCCTCTCCTCTCTCTTCTTCTCCTTCTCCTTCTCAGTACTCAGACTCTTTCCACCTTAGTACTCATGTTGAGTACTTATGCTCAAAATGCCACCTCTGCCTCACCCTGTTCCTGGCCCTAAAATAAAGTGAGTTTATTTTAAAATACAGAGGGAGCCAACAAGATAGTTCTCAACTCTGATGACCTGAGTTTGAGCTCCACGGCCCAGTTGTTGAGTTATTTCCTAACTGTCATACAGTGCTGTGTGTGTGTGTCTTGTATGTTCTGTGTGCACCTGTGCTAAATAAATAAAAGTTAGAAATATAGAGGGAGAACAGTACGGGCAGAGAAAAATAGAAAGGCAAACAAATATCAAGAATAAGGCAAATGGGAAAGACACAAAGCCATAACGAGTGAAAACTTGGCAGAATGGGCTATGTAAAATGAGGACATTTTAACATGTTACCTCCATTGGTAAGAGTAAGATGCCCCTGTAGCATTATGACCCTGTAATCCCCTCATCTTACAGGAGACCCCACTTTTCTTGGGCTTAATCACTGTATAAGATTTGTTGATTCCTAAACACACTTCTCTAGCCCAGGCCTGCCCTCTTGGCTCATTGTTCCAAGTGCCTAAAGACCTTCCAAAGGCCTGAAGAACATCAGGCTGTTTTGGCATCGTCTGCTCAATAATGTAACAGATGCCCCGGATTTGGTGGCTTAAAGCTTCTCTCACCTTATTTGGCACTGCTTTAATTACACTTTTCCTGGGTCTGCAGCCTGCCCTGTGTGTGCATCCCTAACCCAGCCATCCCATGTACAACCTCGTCACACTCACTTAGACTAGAGGAACAGGCTTTCATTTGGCTTTGCCCCTGCAATGTTGTTCTCTTCCTGGATAGGAATTTTAATCCAGCAACATGGCTGCTCCGACAGCGAATCACATCCAAAGACCTAGGTCATGCTGGAATGCAGACGTGCCACACACCTTTAATCCCTGTGGCAGGAATACAGTCACACCCTTAGTACACATGTTTAAGGTAAAATTAGTTTGTAGAAGGAAACAGCTGTGCTTGAAAGTGATGCCTAATTGAGGGGCAGACAAAGTAAAGAATCAGAAAAAGATTTGACAGAATGAGTCAGAGCTAGGATACACCCAACTCTCAGGAAAGCAGCACAGGAAAGAGAAGCTATTAAGAGCAGTGCAGCAAGAGGGGATTCAGTGAGTTGTGAGTCAGTGCAGTGTGTCCAGTAGAGTTCGTTTGTGAGTTCAATGCAGGTCAGCAAAGGCAGCTGACACACAGAAAAAAAAGGAACCAGAAGGTCTTATTTTGCAGACTGAAAAGCCACCATGTTGTCTTTGTGAATGTTCCAAGATAGAGTAGGGCCAAACTTCAATTTGGTTACTTCCTGGTTGGTCCACATTCGTTAGTTTTTTAGGCTGGATTAGCTCAGGAACTTGCTCAACCTTTTTCCCATCTGTTTATTTTGTGTCATTATCTTCTAGTATTCAGAAAGAATGGAAGAATCAGGACTAGACACAAGAAAAAAAGACTTTTAAAAGTTGGTGATATAGCTGGGCATGGTGGTACATGCCTTTAATCCCAGCACTTAGAGAGGCAGAGGCAATAAGATCTGAGTTTAAGGCCAACCTGGTCTACAAAGCTAGTCCAGGACAGCCAAGGCTACACAGGGAAACCCTGTCTGGGAAAAAAAAAAAAAGTTGATACTAAATGAAGCAAGAATAAACACAGACAGAATATTTGCTAAATGCTGTACCTACAAATTAAGATGGCAATTTTTTTGCATTAATTCATATGTACATCGTTAACTAACATAATTCAGAAATAAGAGCACAATGAAACAAATTGCTATCCATACTGAGTCACTCAGTGTGTTTCAGGAACAGTGTCTGAACTATGCACAGGAGGTCTAGAATTTACATCTGCAGGACAGTCCCAGCAAGTCCTCAGATGGGAACACCATACATGGAAGCTAGAGACCATCACTCCCATATCTGAAGCTAAGTGAAGGCCCTGGAGGGAGTGGGAGGAGGCACTGTGCTCAAAGCACAGGGCTTCTACAAAAAAGGCCACAATGGTTTCACTTGGAGCTTTAAGAAGCAGGTAGTTCAAGGACCGTACACTTTTCAAAATAGAAGTGCTTATGAATAGGCTGCCACAGAAATATCATCCAAGCATTTGGAGGGTGGCTGATGCAGATTGAATGAATTTCAAATTTTATCGTTGTCTCTGATTGGCTAGATTTCAGAAGCATAGTTACTAAGTAGGTAGGCATTGGCTAAATGGGAAGTGTTTGAAACTGGTAAAACTAGCAAAGGTTACCCTTTACTGGTTTCAAAAAAACAGTTATTCTTCATCATGTATAATAAGAACTTTAATTTTTTGTTTACAGCTACACATAAAAAATTAAAGATGGAAAATAATGTAGATGGTGGAAAAAACAGGTGTTTTGTTTGTTTCTTAGTTTTCATTGTGCTTGTTTTTATTTTTCCAGAAAGCACTCCTCTGTAGTTCAGACTGTAGCTTGCTGTGCCTTCCAACAACAGTGGGAGCTCTTCTCTGTCTCTGTCTCAGAATCCATGGACTGCAGTTTTTGGTTAGGATTAGTATCTGGGATGTTAGATCACCAACTGAACAAAGGAAGGGGTCAGAAAGAGCTTGCTTCTGTCCTGCTGCTCTATGAGAGACAAGGAGACCATGCCCTGAAATAATCAAACAGATGCAGTTCTGACCAAGGGGGCAAGACAGGACAGAAACAACTAAAAAAGAGGAACAGAAAGACAGAGGGAGAATGTAAACATATTTTAGAGGAACAAGAGAAGAGGTGGGACCAAAAAACTTATGAAAAGATCATGTGTCAGAGCCTTGGGATGACAATTAGAAGACCACAGTTCAAGGCTATCTTAGGCTAGTGTGAGTTCAAAGCCATCTAGGAAAATTAGTTGACACCCTGTCTGAAAATGAAACATAAAAAAGTCTGAGGGTGTAACTCAGTGGTAGAATGCTTGCCTAGCACGAATGAGCCCCTCACACTGCAAAATTGAATAACAAACAAACAAACCCCATGATTTTGTCCCAGGAGCAGCACCATCCACAAGTGAAAAGACACGGTCCTGTGTCATGTGTTCCCCAACATATGTGGCAGAAGACCCGGAAGCAAGGATGGGAAGCAGCCAAGAAGGTAAGGAATACATAAGGCTGCCCAGGGGTCATGAGTTGAGGATGGCTCCGTGAGTACCACAGCTCCAGCTACAGTACTAGCTTGTGGTCCAGGCCAGCCCTGAATCCAGTCCTCTGAACCTACCTGCTGGGAGCTGGAGAGCAGCAAGAACCCTTCACAGAGCCATGTGCGACAGGATGGAGTCAGTTGGTCACATCTGGGTGAAAGAGAAGAAACACAGTCTTAAAACTGGCACTTGCTTGCCTGCTGCCTTGATGTACTGAGTCACACCCATTCTTTCCTGCCACCCAAGTCGGCTGAGTAAACTCTTGCAGCTAGATAATAAAGTTGCTTTGTCACATAAGCCATGACAAGGGTCCTTGTCGGGTATGAGCTTGCAGCCTGTGAAGGGAAAAGAGTTCAGGTCAGCTAGTCTCAATCCAGAGTATATTCCCAACCAAAGTCCTCAAGAGTGTCAAAGAACTAATTAGGGCTTGGCCAGAAAATTTGCCTACAAAATTCTTATTTGTGCAAAAAAAAACGTTTTAAGATTTAAAATGTTTCTTTGGGAGGTGGGGGTCCAAAAATGGCCAGGACCCTGCTTGGATTCCTAGTTGTCAGTTCAGTAGCCTTGGATTCTTCTAGAAGGAAGAAAAAAATGATCATCCAAACACTGATGTAAGCAAGGCGCTTGCAGTGTGGAAGGTCCTAAGGTTTGTTACTTCTCCTCATTATTTCTTTCCTAATCGCCAGTTATTGTTTTCTAGAAGCTGTGGACACTAGGAACAACATTACTGTAGGAGAATCCAGGAAGAGAAGAGGTAAGGAAACAAGGAGTGTTTCCATGCTTTTGATGTAACAGAGAAGTCATTTGTTGCTAGAATTACTACTGTTGTTGTGTATGACAATGGGGTAAACTATGATGACCTCCCCTATGGTCCTCCTCGCCCTTAGAACCTGTTATACTAATGACAAGGGCACTCTACACATATGATTAAGCTAAGAACCTTAGCTTAGGGGGAAGTTATTTTTGCCTGTTGGTATACGGGTGACTGATCTGATTTTATGGTTCTTTAGAAGTGGGAACCTTTCTTAGATGCAGAGAGAGGAAATGACTATGCAGGAATACTCAGAAGGATGAAAGACTAGTGAGTTTGAGGATGCAGGAAGGGGCCAAGAAATGTGGCAATCTTGAGAACGTGGAAAGGCAAGGAAATAGGTTCTCCTGTAGAACCTCTGGGAACAGATGAAGGGCTGTGGACAGCTGGACTTCAGCCTGGTGAGACACACAGCAAACATCTAACTGACATGGTGCTGAGATAAACTTGTGCTGTTTTAAGCCACTGAACTTTTGGCAATTTGTTCCAAGAACAATAAAGAGTGGTAAGTACTTTGGAATACTCAAGGAACTGCGTAACTGTGGCCATGACAGTGACAGACCACACATATGAGGGTGGCCTCATAAGACGGTATTGCTCTGTGGGGTTTAAAATCACCTAATGACACATTGCTCAGAATGCACCCAGTGAGTAAGCAACGAGCAAGTTTGCTGAAGGTGGAATGTGGCTCTATCATGTTCCTACAAATTAACAAGTAGCTTTGAAATTAGGCAGTAAGGAGAAAGTGACAAATTTGTTTGTCATTTGTCTTTATATATATATATATACATATATATATGTATATATATATATATATATATATATATATATATACTGGGTCTCACTGTGTAGACCAGCTAGTCTGGAGCCTGCTGTTTAGACCATGCTGGCTGTGGTATACAGAGATATACTTGCCTGTGCTTCCTGAATATTGGAATTAAAGGTGTTACCCCACCTAGCTGCTGGGCTCTTGAGGAACTTCAAATACCATGATAGAAAAGGCTTGGGGTCCCCTGAGAAGTGATTTGAAAGAACAGTGAGAACTCAGGGGTACATGAAGAACACTCTGGAGAAAACCTACATCCCTCAGTTTACACCCTTCTGTATGAACACATGAGCATTAAGTAGGGCTCAGTGTCTTTGCAGTTCTTATTTAAGACAAGGTGTATAGTGAAAGGCACAGATCCTAAGCACACGCTTTGATGAATCCAGCTAATTGCATTGGTTTTACAATAACAAGCCTAACAAGACTCAGAACAGGAGCATGAACCTGAAGAGGTTTTCTGTGCCCTTTCTTTGGCCCCTATTCATCAAGGCAGCCACTTATTGTGCAAGAACAAATTAATTTAGGTTGTTTTTTTACGTGCTAAGTAAGATTTCCTGCCATGTTCTTTACTGTAAAGTTTCCTTCCCTGCACAGAATGATTCTGCAGTTAACTCACGTTGAGGAATGCTTGCCGTGGTAATTGGCTTCTTTTTATTGCTACGGAGCCAACTTTGACCAGCCTGAATTTGTTTGTATGTTCTCCCAATGCTGGAGCCTCAATGTTTCCAGCTTGGGACATTATGAGGAAGCTGATAGGAGCGCCTGGTAGAATACCCTCTGTGGCTCCACGTTTTCATATTCTTACAGAAGCATTTAGGGGTGACCTGCTGGTATATCAGGTAGATTTCTTCTTGTCCCTCCACCAATACCCATAAATATCCACAATATCAGGGTCCCAGCTCCGTGAACCATGTCCTTGGGTGAGGAAGGGCTCTGACTGTGGGTCATACATCCTATCTGCTCTCTGCCCTTGACCTTAATCAAGTGGCATCATCTCAGCATTCTAAGTGGGGGAGCACACTCCAGAGTGTGGTTCTGGCAATTCTGAAAGGCAGGTGTCATCATTATCTCTAGAAAAAAACCTTGTTTCTAGGAATGCCTTACCTACAATCCCTTTGCAAATGGCCTTGCTTACCACAGTTAAAACATCTTCCATTTTGATATTTCCTAAGACTCTTAGAAATTATTTCTTCTATCAGATTAGGATCATAAACATGAGATCCAATATGAGCCATGTCTCTGTTCCATTCCTCTACTGGTGCTGATTTTGCCTCTAAATGTCTAATCACCCTTTTGCATTCTGAGTTAGCATTTTCAAAAGGCAAAGATTTGACTAGTATTTTTCTGACTTCTGAATCTTATATTACTCTATTTACAGTTGAAGTCAATCTTTGCAAAAATATCAGTGAAGGTTTCTTTTGGGCCTTTGTATAATTTTAATAAGTAATTCAGATCTCTTTCCTGATTCTTCAAACTTATTCCAAGCATTTAAAGCTGCTAAATGGCACAGTGCCAAGGTATGATCACCAAATTCAAGCTGCCTTTGTAAATTAGCATATTGACCTTCACCTAGCAACTGATCCTGGGAAACATCAATACCTCCTCCAGCCTGATTTCATTGTTCTATGGTCTTCACTTCCTCTTTCCACCATGATTGCCATTGTAACTAAAGACCTGGTTTCAATGTTGCTGTTGCCAAATCTTTCCAGTCTTGGGGGATAATTCTGTCCTGAATTGCCCGTGAATTTATTATCTGCTTCACATAGAATGAATGCATACCATAGGAAATGACAGCTTCCTTAAATCTCCTCAAATCTAACATGTCTATAGGATGCCACTTAACTTCTCCATAACCTTGGGGGTACCTATCATCTCAGGTATGTCTTGTATAGCAACTAGATAAACTAAGGTTAATTTTCTAACAACCTCAGGCTGTCCCCTTTCAGTTTCATTATGCAAAGGCATGGTAGGCTCTTGTCTAAAATCCTCTGTCTGAAAATTTCCCTTATTCTCATTTATAGGTCTTTCTAAAGATGTCTAAACGCCTCTGTCTATGTCTGACTATTTTTCTTATTCTCATTTATAAATCTCTCTAATTTTCCTTCTAAGGCTTGTATCTAATCAATCCACTTTTTCTTTCAGCAAGTACAGAAAGCCATCATAGCGACTAAGAATAAAGTATAAAATACCAAAAGTATAATAATCATAATATGTATTGATACAATTTAAGGTAAGCCATTCAGCTTTTCATTTTTTGCTTCTTTTTTCAAGCCATCTAGATTAGCCCTATACAAGGCTCTAAAGCATTCTAGTATGGTACTTTACTCATCCTTAACTCTTGAGGATTTCCTCAATGACTTGACAAATCTGATGGCTTCTCAGATTGTCCAAAGTTGGAGTGATCTCTCTGTCCAAGGGATCTTGCCACTAGTGTGAGTGCCAAAATGTTGTTAAGGAAGGAAGGAAGGAAGGAAGGAAGGAAGGAAGGAAGGAAGGAAGGAAGGAAGGAAGGGGAAAAAGAAAAGGAAAAAGAAAAGAAAAAAGAAAGATGGAAGGAAGGAGGGAAGGAAGGAAACCCCAAATTGTTCAAATTTACCAACAAAGACTCAGAAGCCAGATGCTGGGGTGAAAACCTGCTAGCTCAGAGAGGCAAAGAGAGCACCCAGCTGACCTACTCAGCTCACATTCCAGAGAAAAAAGCCAAAACCCCAAACCCAAAAGCTTACTAGCTCAGCTGACAGCCAGGAGGAAAAAGCCAAAAGCTAAAAGCCAAAAAGCTCTTATTTCTTCTCCACACTCTTAAAAACCCTTCTCTCAAAGTCCCTCCTTTCTACTTAATCTGTGAGCTGGTATCTTCCTCTGCCTGTTGACCTAGGGATACCGTTACTAAATCTTGTATAGAGAAAGCTCTTGGATTAATGGTATGTCCTTCGGCTGAGCCACAGCATAATCACCTGACTACAGTAAACAGAAAGTTTTTGAATTAAAGGTGAGCATTAGGGCTTAGCCATACCAAACAATACACGGGTTTTTACAGTTCAGAATGTCAGGGCTCTCAATAGGATCAAATATTCTGCAACAATATTTGGCTCTTGGAATAGATGTGATATCTATATTATTTTTTTAAATATTGAACATGCTCAACATTTGTCATGAAAGGTATTCTTTCTTTTTTTTGAGGGGGGAGACCAATTAACCCTACAATACTTTTTGAATAAGTCAACCATAAATACATCAACATGGTGATCTTTCATACAATCTTATTCCTATAAGGTGTATATATTTACAAACAGTCTCTGAAATCTGGTTTTAGGACAGGTCTAAGAGATTCATTTCTTCTAGACAAAAGCTAAATTCCATTTTCCAAATAATTATCAATTTTGATCAGGTGCGTGAAGTAGGTTTTGTAATCCCACTCTATATTAATTTCACCAAACTAATTTTATGCTCTTGACAATGACCCAGCTGTGCTGATGACTGATGTGTACATTTTTGTTTGGAAAGAAAAAAAAAAAACATGGTTGCATTCCGTTTTTGAATGCATAATTTGAAAACCACCTTATTTGGGCTGAGTTTTTTGAAACATTTTCATTCATGTCTCTACATGTGTAGACAAACAGATTTCTTTCCAAAGTGTCAACACAACTGAATCCTGCACATACTTTAACTCTGACTTCTGCCTGGAAGAACATGGCTCCTTGTCATGAGCTCTCTTCCACAGGGCATGGAGAAAGTGGCCTGATGTGGCTGATGCCTCCCTTGCTCCTTCCCATTTTCACCTGTACTCTGCTCAACTCTGCATTTGCCTGCTTCCCTCCCAGGTGGCAGCAGAGCTGGTGGCCAGGCAGCTACCAGGAGAAAGAGAAGGACTCCAGCACGCCCTGCCCGGACCAGGGGTAAGATGGCTTCTGTGGATCTTTCCCTTCACCCTCTGAGAGCACACAGATTTTGGTAAAGTTTGGGGGAATCTAAACCATTCTTTAGGGGGGAAAAGTTGCTTAAAGGCTGGCATGGTGGCACACGCTTGTAATCCCAGCACTCTGGAAGGCAGAGGCAGACAGGTCTCTAAGTGTTAAGCCAGCCTGGTTTACAAAGTGAGGCTAGGACAGCCAAGGCTACACAGAGAAACTCTGTCTTAAATGGAAACAAACAAACATAAAAAAAAAAACCTACTCAATCTAACTTTTCAAGTTGAGAGCAGAAAAGTTAAAAAACAAATCTGTTTGGAGAAAGAGTGTAAATTGTATTTATGTCATCAATCTTATCTGTCCCAATTTTTTCCTTCCCTCTGAGTTGAACCTGGTTTTTATGGAAATGCTTTTCTCTTGCACATTGATTATTAAAATGGCTACATGTGACTTGTAAGTAGAAATCAGATCTACTCTCTCATAGTCCTTTTCCTCCTCCCTTTCAGAGAGTTTTTTCTCATCTTGGGCAGGCCCTGTAGCTTTCCAGTCCCGTTTCAGCAATGACAACATTCCACAGCAGTGGCTGAGGGCCCTTTCTGGCCTCATACTCAATTTTTGATATCCAAAGTTGTTATAGAGAAATACAATCCCAAATCCTTCTATTTTGCCAATAAAGACTCAGGAGCCAGATGCTGGGGTAAAAAGCTGCTCTCTCAGAGGAGAGAGCGCACCCAGCTGATATTCCAAATTAGGCTACATCCCAGAGAAAAAAACAAAACTCCAAAAAGCCAAAAGTAAAAAGCCCAAGGCTTGCTAGCTCAGCTGATGACCCTGGAGGAAAAAGACAAAAGCTAAAAGACAAAAAGCTCCTTCTGCTTCTCCATGCTGTCTTAAATACTCTTCTCTCAAAGTCCCTCCTTTCTACTTAATCCCTGTCAGCTGGTTTCTTGCTCCACCTCTTGACCTAGGGCTAACTTTATTAAATCCTGTGTACTGAAAGCTCCTACTTTAAAGGTGTGTGCTAGGGCTGAGCCACACCATAATTACCTACTTATAATAAAAAAAGTTCTTGGATTACAGGTTTGTGATAGGGCTAAATCACACTAAACAAGAAACAGGTTTCTATAATTCACAATCTCGGGGTTCACCAATATCCTGCAACAATATTTGGCCCCTCGAATAGATGTGATGTCCATATTTTTATTTGTTTTTGTTTTGGTTTTTTTTTGAGACAGGTTTTCTCTGTGTAGTCCTGGCTGTTCTGGACTCACTTTGTAGACCAAGCTAGCCTCCAATTTACTTTGTTGACTGATGTGTACAGTTTTGTTTGGAAAGAAAAAAAAAACATGGTTGTAGTCATTTTTTTAATGCATATTTTGAAAACCACCTTATTTGGGCTGAGTTTTTTGAAACATTTTCATTCATGTCTCTACATGTGTAGACAAACAGATTTCTTTCCAAAGTGTCAACACAACTGAATCCTGCACATGCTTTAACTCTGACTTCTGCCTGGAAGAACATGGCTCCTTGTCATGAGCTCTCTTCCACAGGGCATGGAGAAAGTGGCCTGATGTGGCTGATGCCTCCCTTGCTCCTTCCCATTTTCACCTGTACTCTGCTCAACTCTGCATTTGCCTGCTTCCCTCCCAGGTGGCAGCAGAGCTGGTGGCCAGGCAGCTACCAGGAGAAAGAGAAGGACTCCAGCACGCCGTGCCCGGACCAGGGGTAAGATGGCTTCTGTGGATCTTCCCCTTCACCCTCTGAGTGCACCCAGATTTTGGAATGGTTTGGAGGAATCTAAAGTCTTTTTTTTTTTTTGATAGAAAAAAAAACCCTACTCAAGCTTACTTGTCAGTTTGAGAGCAGCCAAAACTGAAAAATCAAAGTTGTTTGGAGCAAGGGTGTAAATTGTATTTATATCGCCAATCTTATCCATCCTAAGTTCTTCTTTCCCTCTAAGTTGAGCCTGATTTTTATGGAAATGCTTTTCTCTCAGACTTTGGTTATTAAAATGGCTACATTTGATGACTTTCAAGCAAAAATCAGATCTACTCTCTCATAGTCCTTTTCCTCCTCCCTTGTGTTGAGTTTTTTCTCATCTTGGGCAGGCCCTGTAGCTTTCCAGTTCTATTTCAGCAGTAACAGCATTTCACAGCAGTAGCTGGGAGCCCTTTCTGGCCTGATACGCAGTTTTTGAGACAGGAAATGTCTGAAAGAACAAACATCAAAGGAATAAACCTTGATGCTTTCTCCAATTGAAAGCACCTCCTCTTCTTCAACCTGGACAAGCCCTAGATCTGGACATGCAAACCAGGGCTAGCACCATCCCATTTCAGTGTCCCCTGGGACTCTGCCTCTGTTCCCTAGAAGCTGGTGTGGGCTCAACCGGGTTGGGTTGAAGAGAAGTGAGGTGACTGGTGCTTGTGCAGATGTCTGATGGGCTTAGCTGTGGAAGATGCAGGAGGTAGAGGATGCTCGCTCTCTCTCTCCCATGAGATGCCATCACTTCCACAGTAGGGGAAGGTGAGGGGCCAGACCTCATTAAAAGAAATGCAGCTTTTCTTCTGGGGCCTGGTGTAAAGGGCCATGCTGGCATGATCCAGTCCCACTAATGTGTGCTGTGGTCACAGAGGTGGCTTGGCACTTTGCCTTATCATGGGTAGGACCCTGAGGCACCAACTAAGATGGAAAAAAAAAAAAGACTTTACAGTTTTTTTCATGAGAGCACCTCTGTCCTTAGTTTTGAGAAGACTGACTGGTCACCTGATTTGGCATTTACTACATTGATCTCAACTACTGGACCTTCTATAAAAATGTTAAATAAGGACTAGAGAGATGGCTCAGAGGTTAAGAGCACTGCCTGCTCTTCCAGAGGTCCTGAGTTCAATTCCCAGCAATCACATGGTGGCTCACAACCATCTATAATAAGATCATGGGTCTCCTTCTGGCATGCAGGTGTATATGCAGATAGAACATTGCATACATAATAAATAAACAAAATATTTTTTTAAATGTTAAATAAACAGCAGCGAACAGACACATCTGTCACACCTTTAGAGTTCAATACTGACCATAAATAGCAGTTATTTCAAAAGAACTTTAAAGCATATTCTGACCTTGGTTGTGTTTCTAGGATTTGTGGTGGATTTCATGTTATTACTCGGGCACTATAACCTCTGAGTACAACAAGAGCTGAATCTTGCCTTGCTCAGCTATTCTATTTGAAAATAAAACGCAGTGGGCCGGTATTGTGAATTAGCTTAACATAAACTCCCAATCTCCCTGTACCTGTACCTCGGTGGACTACAGTAGACACTGGTGTTTTTACTTTTTCTCTTCAAAATATGAGGACTAACCATTTCCAGTGAAAGGCAATCCAGCAAACCCACTAGACCCGCATGGGGGGGGCTACACTGAGTTAGAGAGAAAAGAATTCTGTATTTCTATGTTTACTGGGTTGGCTGAGCCTGTTGCCAGATGTGGAAGGGAGGAGGGGTGGCCAGAGCAAAAAGTCATGTGAAACACTTCCCAGTGGGCTATGACCATGGGCTCTCAGAAGAGTCAGGAAGGAGATATTCCCAGGCATGTCCTACCCTTCCGGTGTCCCAGTGCATCTTGGGAGAGAGGGAGGAGGAGAGTCCCTTGGAAAGCCACTCTACTGCTGCTTGGTGATCACACCACCCAGAGAGGAGCCTTAATTAACTGCAGAGACACTTCCTGTTTACTCATTGTGTCAGAGAGACAAGCATCTTGATGAGGCAGCTGAAACAAGGTACAGAGCCCTGGACCACTGCAGTGCTGCCTCCACCAACCTGACACTCTCAAGAGTGAAAACAATCTCTGACACACTGGGAGTCGCCCAGCAGTGACTGGACACTGAGATGGCCCAGAGTGCTGGACAGAAACCTGGGTTTCAGCTTTCTTTTCCTTTGCTTGTATGGACTTGGACCTGTCCCTTGTGTCTTTCTTTCCTCCTTTCTTTCTTTCTTTCTTTCTTTCTTTCTTTCTTTCTTTCTTTCTT